ATGATGTGTCGCCATTTGCTTTAAGAGGGACTGCTGCTCTTCACAAACAGCAACAAGAGGAAAGGGCCTCACGTATTAATAACATCTAGAAACCAGCCTGGTGGAGGAATCCAGGGGCACTGACTGCTCAAAATGGACGACAACCATCAACGTACGACACACTTAGTCCAGATAACATCCGTGGGCAGAACTGTGAAGGTTTGTGTGAGTCAGAACAAGGTCCTCAATAGATTCTTTCGCATCAAAGATAAAGTCGGATTTTTGATTTCTGACCAAAGCATTAAACGGTCTTTTCCTTCTGTTCAGATGAGAATATTCTGCAAATATGTTCCCAATCTTTAATTGTAATTCCAGTAAATAAAATTAGGTTAGCTCGACAGAGTGTAAGACCTGAACTAAACACAAAAGTTGATCATTCAGTCCATCAGCAGCGCGGATATTATCAAAAACATAAATCCCTATCAGCTTGACTGGATACTCTGATTTTAGCGCCACAGTCGGCCTAGCTTCAACAACTACATTAATCCAGAATCACTCCAATCATCTGTGCAGCTGAGGGTTAGGAAACCATCTACGTTACCATGCCAACGTGTCTGTCAATGTTAAAGATGCGCTTATTAGAGCCCTCCTCGTAGAGTTTGGACAGGACCAGTTTCTCCACCCCGAACACCACGCCGTCCTTACAGCGGATCCCAATGGCTGTGCTGCAGACAAAGCATTCAAAGCTAACGGGGTTGTTCCTGACACATCATCCAAACCTGGACGGCTTGAAGAAAAGATCCACAGCCTGACGAGTGACGAGCAAATGGAGACTCACCTGCTGTTCTCTACAGCCTTCATGGCGTACTCCACTTGAAACACACGGCCATCCGGAGAGAAAGTGGAGGCAGACAGGTCATACTGCAGCACGCAAACAGAAAGGCCACGTTAGTACTCAGCACGCAGAGACAGCAAACCTTTCCACTTTGTATCTCGATTGCAAATGAAATGTGCAAAACTGCTTCAGATCCAGCCCTAGATTGAAAAATTGAATGATGAAATTAATGTTTAACTGTTGTAGGAATTCATAATCTCTTGCAGCCAGATGATATGATGTATGCCAATTAGGCGATGACGTCATCTAGCGGTTTTTAGGACATCCAAAAGCGATTTTTCTTGCTGAGAAGTTGGCAACACTGTCCCAAATTTAGTAGCCTATACCAGAGAAGACAGACAGTTGGCTGCTAGATGCCAATTTCTACGGAACATTTATTTTTGTTTAAAAAACTGTGTGAAAGTTTGTCTTGTTTGTTTTTACTAAAGGAAATGTAGCATTTTATACCAGATTAATGGGGCATTGACCAAAGCTCTGTCCGTTCATTAATATGCACTGTTCCATTTCAATTGACCAATAATTCATACACAAATAAAGGTTTAATAATGAAAAATATCCATTTCTATTTGCTTCTGGAGGTTCAGCTCAAGCCCAGGCTGCTTCAAGCACATTGATATGAAGGTGATTAATGCAGGTATTGGTACTTTAAGGAGTGCAGAAAGGAACAGAGTCCAGATAGAAAATGAAACAAGCATCTCCATGAAGCTTCTTGCTGTGTAAAGAAATGTGTAGACCTGGCCAGGCAGAGTGGACCATCACCAGCAGACGTCATAGATCAGGCATCCCCAAACTCGGTCCTCGAGGGCCGCTGTCCTGCAGGTTTTAGAGGTTTCCCTGCTTTAGCACAGCTGATTATGATGATTGCAGTAGAGCAAAAGCCTGTTAATCAACTATCAATTAAAATCAGCTGTGCTGGAGCAGAGAAACATCTAAAACCTTCAGGACAGCGGCCCTCGAGGACCGAGTTTGGGGATGCCTGTCATAGATCCTCAAACCATGACTGGACCTGAAGCAGCTTGGCTTCTGAGCCTCTCACCTTTTCTTTTAAGCTTTGGGATCTTGATTTCCGAATAATGTCAGACCTGATAGTCTCATTTATTTACTGAATTTTTGTGAATGAACTCTAAACTAAAAATTATCTGAGGTGCATCACTTTTAGTAGACGTATAAAACATAAAAACCTACTATTTTGAGTTACACTAGATTTTGGTTATTTGGATTCATGTAATTCACTGTGTCTTAATTTTTATAGATGTGAACTCAAGTTTTAATAAATCCATAAATATATGTATATGTTATCCTGCTGATGCACATCATGCCAAGACCACAGACTGATAACTGAAAATGAACTGAGGATTAACAGCAATAAACAAGTGAAGTTACATAAATTAGACGCCGAATGAAGCAAAACAATCTAAATAATCAGCTTAATCTGTAAGGCGAGTTTTTCATTTAGAGATGTAAAACTCCAACTAAAATCTGATTTCTTAAACACAGAGTCTGGCGAGCAACGTAGCTAGCTGTTAGCATTAGCATTAATTAAAGTACATTTATCGAATGAGATGCAAGATTCGGTAGAGATTTTTTTGTTTTATCAAATCATACGTCAACAAAGCTTCGCCAAAATAGAAAAGCATCAATTAGAAATAAAACAATGAGGGACTTTACTTTCACTTTAGCCTGTGCTAACAGGCCGGTCTGTGACTCAGCAGGCTAACATGGCAGATGACTAGCTTCCAGGAAAAGGGCTTTTTTAGAAGTCAAATATAAGTATGGTTTTAAAATACAGCAAACTTATAAAACATTAACCCAGTAAAAATAAAATACAGGTGAAAATAAACTGTAAATTACTCACTCCGGTTCCAATGGAGCTCATTTTGACACCAAATGTGAATTCAGCACACCTCTCAACCACTCAGCCTCTTCCTAAGGAAAAACATGGCTTCCGGTCACGGTCTTCAAAATAAAAGCGCAAAACTCTACTTCTTGTTATTGAAAAAAATTTAAACATTTATACAAAAAAAAAAAAAAAAAAATGAAGACAGATAAATAAGGAGAAAGATAATTGTATTAATAAGTGAAAAAAAATAATCAAGGTACATTGCTGCCTTTATTAGTTTAAGGGATTTAAAAAAGGATTGTTAAAATTCTAGTAAAGTTTTATACATTTTATAAACTTAACATCAGGAAAATATTTCAGCATCTTTTCTCACATCAGTTTGATGGAATAATGAAGGAATTACAGCCGTCAATCATGCTCTTTTATTCATGTGATCTTTTGGATTTCTCATCTGAGGCATTTCACTGCAGTAAAGCCAAGAACTGGCTTTAACCCAACAACTTTATCTTTTCCCTAAGTAGCTAGATCTAATCTAAAACCTTTTTTTTTATTTTTCCTTAAATTGACTGTTAGCGTTATATTATTTGCATTGTTTAGCTTATCATTTATTTTGTCATGCTTTTTTACACAATTATACAGTAAAAGATTGGGTGTTAAAAATTCAGTTAACATATTTAACTTTAGAATATTTATATCTATACTGAGAGTAAATCTGCTCAAGTGTTGGAGTTAAAAATCAGTGTAAAAATTTACAGCATTGCAGAGTAACTTTTACTCTATGTGGTGTTGATTTCCCGCCAGATTGATCAGGGGCGGATTTAGGAAATGTGGGGCCCTAGGCAAAGACAGGCAGGGGGCCCTCTGAACTGAGAAGACAACACATAAAACAGACCCATTACACAGATAGAGAAATGTTAATAGACTTCCATTATTTGTTCTAGGTTTTGTCCCTCTCTTCTTGTTGTTTTTCTCTCTATGTTTTGTACTCAGTTGACTTTTCATGCTGTCTCTAAAGGAATGAAATATTTTTTTTCCAAGCACTAAGCTCACTTAGCTGATTGCTCCTTCCTGTTTCCAAAAAGGCTAAAGCAAATAACCCAGTCCTTCTTTTCACTGTAGACAAGCCATGATCTGCTTCTCTGTTCTCCATTTTTCATTTTGATGAAATAATATCTGCATGAATCATGACAGCAGACAAGATAGAGGAGAGCAGGAGGCGGGGTTACCAATCTACTTGCTCTGGAGAGCAGAGTTCGCTGCTTTTAGATGTTGTCTCCAAAGTCTCCAGTAGCAGAAAAAAAGTCGCTATATTTGGCGCTAGGAGCTTTTTTGAAATCAAAGTGCTAGAGAGGTCTGAAAAGTCACTAAATATAGCGACTAAAGCGACCTTTCTGAACATGTGCAGCAAATGGACTGATCCAATATGGTGGACACTGGAGAGAGGGGGGGGGGGGGGGATTTTCATCAAAAACATAATTAATGTGCACAAAAAAGGAATAGTTGTATTAACCATACATGGAAACAGAGTTTTATGGCCCCCCTAGGCACCTGTCCAGCATTGTCCCCCCCCCCCCACGGGTCTCAGAGGTTCTTCATTTTGACACTAATAGGAGTAAAACTAACTCTGAAAATATGACACTGGCAATAGAGTCACTTTCACACTAATTAGTAGTGGGACCAAATGTTATCTGAAACACTTATATTCAACTCTGTAGGTGTTAGGGTAATATTTTGATTCAGATTGGTTTAAAAACAATATTTCAGTTGCTGTTACAAAGATTTAAAGAAGCTTTATAAAGCAGTTCCATTAACTTTATCCTACTAGAAACTTTCATTTGGCACTAAATTAAGTTAAACTTAAGTTATCTTTTAGAGCTCATTGTTGTTTGGTTCTGCTTTTATTTCCATACCTCTTAACTGTTCTCATTCGTTTGTGTTCTAAAGTTTTATTTATAATTTCCTGCATTGTGTTCTACAGGAGAAAAGGATGGGATAATATTACGAACGAGGCGGGAATATTTCACGAATACAAACTTTTATTTACTCTACATATTAGTGTGATATATGAAATACTGGGAGACTGTTTCACAGCCTCACTGGAAACCTAATCTGCAGATCATTTAAGCTGAGCCATTTCTAATAGTCTGTTGGATATTGTCTCTGGACAGGGTTCTGTGGGTCAGAAAACTTCAATATTAGCCCGATAATATAGAAATCAGATGTCGGAATGTTTTGGAAATGTTTCCTGCAGTTGGACGGCACCAGAAAATCATTCAGAGACAGCACTTGTAAGAAAAGTGTCCATAAAGTTTAATTGAATCCGGATGGCTGTGGTGGATTACAGACCTGCTGAAGATTAAACAAGTAAAACGTTCAAATTTCAAAATCATTCATTTAAATCTGCACCGTTTCATCACATCGCCGTTAATAATCGTTCATCTTTAATTGGTGATGGAAGCTTTGGTCACAAAAGAGTGAAAAAAAATAAACATTCATACAAAGGAAAATAACACACAAGAAAACATGCATTCTGAAGTTTTCTCTCTTCGTTTTGAAAAGTCAAACGGAACGACTGACATTAAGGCAAACAGAGTGAAGCTCCACCATCGACTGGAATGGAAAACAAGCATCTCTAGACAAAACCGAAGCAACAGACGATTAGCATTCATTGGTTAATACAAATAAGTACAAGTTGTGTGTCATAGATTTTTCTTCTTTAATGACACTAACTAGAACAGGTACTAAGAGCTGGCTCCCATCTGCACACATCAGCGGAAACACATCGAAACAGCTCCCAGATGTACAAGCATCGGCATGACAACCGAGGAGGGCGGCGTGGACGGGTAACAACAAAACTTCTCATGTGTAAAAAAAAAAACAGAATAGAAACCTTTGAAGTATGTTTTTCTTTTTACTGATTTGGCTACCTGTACTTCAGTAACCGTCCAGCTAAGGTCAAATATGTAACATATTTAATCAGGAGAAAAATCTGACAGAATATGGAAGGAGAACATGTGAGACGCTAGAAATGTTTGGGTGTCATGTTCCACTGATGTTTGACGCTTTATTACTTGATATGTTTTTTTTGTTTTTTTCCTCATGGAGTTTCCTTTTGATTTCTTTCAGTAGAAAATAACTTCACCTTTAGACCCTGGAGGTCACCCAGGAACTTGTCAGAAGCAGTCGGTAAGGACCGACAGGATGCTTCGTACCTTGCTCTACATCTCTTTATGCTTCTGGTTGGTTTATAGCGAGTGTGGATTAGTGATCTAACAGATTTATCAGCTCATTGCATCTATCTTCAGATTATAAGGTATTTCATTTAGGCTATTTAAAAGAGTTCTTAGTGCTTAAACTCAGCACCACTACTGATGGTTTGTCCTACAGCCGAGGAGCTGCACTGGATCCAGACTGTAGAGATCAGATTAACCTGATTTTTCTATGGGTAATCATATGGGATTACTTTTTAATGAAGGGCATATTTAGGGGAAATAAAGGCTGTAAATGGACTTCTGGTTCTACTAGTCTAGAATAAAAGCACAGCAGGAGTGTTGCATGGCTTGCATTCGGCCGGTAGGACCAGTGTCTGAGTTGAAGTTCTGATAATGAACCAGAAGATCAAGCATGGTGTCTCATTAGAGGGTGGGTGGGGTGGTGGTGATAAGGAAAACAGACTTGGTGTCATTTGCGACCCTCGGCTGTCGGTCTGGTCCGCGGTTCTCAGTGTTTGTCCGTTCCTGCAGGCTCTGCCCTCACAGCGGCGTGTCCAGCTGGCTGCAGGCGGGTCGGACGGTTAAGTGTTTCCTTTCAGGACGCCTACACAGCTCTGCAGTAGCTGCAAGTTTCCCTGCAGGCAGGAGAGGAAGGAAAAACATCAGGGATATGGATATTCAATGTTAATTTTACGACTTTTTTTTTAATGTTGTGACTTTATTCTCGTTTAAAAAAATTAAATCTATAGCCTTGCCCTAATACTCCGTCGTACTGATATTTACCAATATATCCATATATATATATATATATATATATATATATATATACATATACACATATTTTGTCAGGGAAAACTAATCCTGAGTCAGTTAAAAGTCAGGGAATTCTGAAATTATGTAAGACTGTGGAAACCCTGAATAAAATAACTATGTATAATGATTCTCTAGAAAAATAGAAAAATATTAATAGTTTTATCTTGTATAAACATACCGTGACTCTAAAATAAAAGTTATTCATTTGTGACATTGACTTGACTTGTTATTTATGTGATTTAACTTTTTAACCTGTCAAGTTTTTTTAGATTTTTAACATAACAATTATTTTTTTCAAACACACAACAGTTTAAAGCAAAGTTTAGTTTGAAAAGAATGTGCAGGAAGGATTGAAAAGCATGTTAACACGGTAATGTAGGCTTGAGTTCATTATCTGACGCATGCATATACACACCAGGAACCTGGAAACTTACTGAATTACAAAAAAACATTTAAAAAACAAAAATGTTTCATTGATAAATATACAAAAATGAATATTAGGAACTATATTTATCAAACATTATACTGGGCAAGTAAAAATTGTTTCTGGGCAAATGAAATGTGAAAGTCACTTGCCCAAAGGGCAAGTGGTAAAAATCCTTTAATGTCAACCCCCTCCAACAGAAACCATCGTCTCATAGCTTCCTTAACTCCCGGCCTGGGCCTCAATAAATGCCTCAGGTGGGTTTTTTTCTACAGAGGCTTTCGCCTCAGAAACAAGCATCAGAGGCTGGATCTGCTCTGATGCTGCAGGAACTAAGATCCTCTTCAGCCAAAGTTTAAAAATCACAGTTTTACCAAATGAGACGTTTCCTTCTCTAGCAGAAAACAAATCTGGTTAACACAGCTTATCATTAGACTATATGCCCACAAGTGGTCAGGGTGTGAATTGCTATCTAAGAATGTGACTTTAGGATTTATCCTCCATCTTTAAAAAATGATCAGAAAAGGTTTGGTTGAGGCCACTGCTGGTTGGTCAGCACAGCTGAACTGATCAAGTTAAATGGAGGATCTCTGTGGAATGCGGAGCCCAGCGGGACATCAGTACCTTGGCATGCTTGAGCTCCAGCTCGGCCAGCTCCACCAGGTTCTTCCTGAATGCTGCCACTCTTCTCGTCTTGAAATCGATGAGTTCTGTGGAAGATGCATCGTTATTCTCAACCCAAGTTCTCTTCTTAATTAGCTTGATCAGCTTTATAACAGATGGTAAAGTTCCTAATAAACTCCACACATTCCTGACTGCATACGAATGATCACAGCCTCCAACCTTTAAATAAGCCTTCTGCACATTTAAAAGAAAACAGGCATTCTACTGTCCTACAAGACAAATTATCACCTAACTAACAGATGTGAGAAAAAGCAAAGAGCCAACAGCCAATACAGTGGACTAGTCTGGTGATTAAAAAAAAAGAAAGTAGGTCTGTTGTTTACCAAGAGTGACAGGATAGAATCCCAGTGACAAACAGGAATAAAAGCTCCTGTTCTAGTCTGGTTAGAAATCCCATTATCGTCTCTCCTCCTCCTCAGAGCAGATCAGCAATAGAAACGCTCTGTGTTTCCTTTCAGCTCAATAATTTTGTAAGCAAAGTCACGCAGCATTGCGTGAGCATTTGCACATGTGCAAGCAAATATTTATCCAGGTCACCCTAAATAATAGGGATGGAACGGTTTATGAAAACCGTCCGAACCGTTCGGTTCGACTGTCTCGGTTCGGTTCGCGTGTGTTGCGTTCGGTTCATGTGCTGCTCCTTTTTCTCATAGGTGAAGCGTTTACACTCCAGAGCAGAAGGTGGCGGTACTGCGACCAAAGCCAACCACCAGTAGTAAACAAGAAGAAGAAGAAGCGAAGCAGCGTAGCCGGGTGTAGCAGAAAATAATCAGTTGTTGTGGAGAATTGTGTGGGTATGGCGAGTGGGAAAGAACAGGAGTTGGAAGACGCGCCAGCAGCACTTTATAGGTCTGCTGTATGGGACCACTTTGCATTTAGAGTGACCTACGATGACGGCGGAAAGAAAGTTGTGGATAAAAGTACAATAGTGTGCAAGCATTGTGCAACACGTTTTGTTTATGCGTTTTTGTTTATAAATAGCAACACGACCAACATGTCATGCTAACCCCGAAATCCCACATACTCCATCAGCGCTCCGCTCCTCCCCGCTCCGCTCCAGACCGCCTGCACAAAGCAAAGCCTACAGCTTCCACTGTGGCTCCCGTCCGCTCCGCTCTGAGTTCCTTGGAGATCGTAGAGGAAATGATCCAGGGTTTCCGCGGATCATTAAAAATAATTACAATTCATTAATTTATTTGGATTTTTTTCATCAATTTCATAAATTTTTATGGGATTTTGGTGTAACAATCAACATATACCGAACCGAAAACAGTGACCACGAAACAGTGAACTGAACCGTGGATTTTGTGAACCGTTCCACCCCTACTAAATAATAGAATTTAGTGTTAAAAGTAGTAATTTCTATCCTAAAGTCACCAAAGAATGTTAAAATACATCTAAAAACATTTCATGACTTTTCTGAGACAATTGTAATCTTTTAAAATTCGTTGGACATGCTCAGAGCCGTCCAGCAAAATACGATCGCACCGTCTGTAACGGCATTTTAGTTTATATGCTAAATAAAACTCAAAAAGACTAGATTTATGTTTAAATCCACAGCCTGCTGATCAGCCAATAGGAACACAGGTGCAGAGAAGATATTACCGTATTTTCACGACTATAAGGCGCACTTAAACGTCTTTTTTTTTCCCTCAAAATGTGCGGTGCGCCCTATGGTGCGGTGCGCCTTATGTGTGTTGTAACTGCGACTTTTGAGACCACCTCATTGAGGAGATGATGAAAGAGTGGCTGAATGTAAGGAGACCAGGTGTTTTTTTTTCCACTCATCACCATCGCTGTTATATGTAACTCCATGCGTGCCCATCTCACAGCTGATGTGAAAAACATGGGGAAACAAATTAACGCTGTGCTCGCTGTTCAACCGCTGGACATCGGTGTGAACCGGACCCAGCAGGTGCAGCAGAAGCAGCGAGTTTACATGCAAAGTCAATGGTTGACGCGCGTGTAGGTGCAGCAAAAGGTCCCGCAGCGCGTTTTGAGCAGCAGGCGCAGTGCGTCGGGAGCGTTTAAGCATCTGACGCACCGCCAACGCGCTGCTGCAGCTCGAGATGGAAAAATTGAAGTTTTGCTGCTGGACGCGCCGCATCAACCAATCAGAGAAGCTGATCTGGGTGCTGACAGCGAGACAGACACAGCGCTCTGATGACATATGATATGATGAAAGCGTGGCTGAGGCAGGTGTATGTGAGGAGACCAGGTGCTTTTTTCCACGTATCAACATCGCTGCGTGCCCATCTCACAGCCGATGTGAAAAAAAAGGTGAATCAAATGAACGCTGTGCTCGCCGTTATCCCGGGGGGTCTGACAAAGGAACTTCAACCGCTCGACATCGGTGTGAAGCGGCCGTTCAAAGTAAGGCTGCGAGCGGCGTCGGAGCGATGGATGACAGACGGAGACCACAGTTCCAGGATAAGTGGAAGGCAGCGCCGGGCAAGTTACGGTTTGCGGATGGATTGTAGATGCTTGGACTAATGTGTCTGCTGGCTCTGTTGTTCAAGCTTTCGCAAAAGCCGGCATTATTTCTGAGGAGCCGCGCTGCACGGAAAGTGACTCTGACAGTGAAGAAGAAGGGGAAATTGGCATGTCTGATTTAGCGCAGCTGTTTAATTCAGAAACAGAGGATGACGACTTTGATGGGTTTGATTAATACTTTGTAATAAATACTTGAATAAAGCACAAACATACTCAGTTTTGCTCCCGCTCTATTTTTCTACCTGAAAACTTAATTCAACAGCAGCCTCTGGGCGGGTCTCCTCCTCTTCATCGCGGTGGCTGGCAGGTGTTTTTTCATCTAAATAATCTAAATCTTGCAGCTATATTTGCTGTGATCAGTGGGAATAAAGTAGTTTTTATATGTTTTTAAGTTAGAAAGTCCACCTGAAAACTTAATAATTGCAGTCAGTTCATCCAGATTATCTATTTCTGTCGGAGGCGCTCAGACCCCCACATACCAGCGGTGCGCAGACAGTAGGAATCCCTTCAACAGCAGCCTCTAGGCTGGGCAGCCTCCGGGTTCACGCAGCGGCTGGCAGGTGTTTTTCATCTAAATAATTTAAACTGCAGGCACCAGGATACCGGCAATAAAAGTGAACATATTCCGTCGGCAGGTTTCAGGATTTTAAGTTAATTTAGGAGTGATCACAGCTCTGTGTCATCTGCGATGTGTCTGTCTCACTGCCAGCACCCAGGTTTGATTAATACTTTGTAATAAATACATGAATAAAGTACAGTCATACTCAGTTTTGCCCCCGCTGTATTTTTAAATATGCAGTAGAGGTATTTAAAGGTAGTAGAGGACATGTACCTGTATATAAAAAACGCGCCCTATAGTCCGCTGCGCCTTATGTGTGTGTTAAATACAGAAATGGGACACATAACTGAGAGTGCGCCTTTTAGTACGGTGCGCCTTATGGTCGTGAAAATACAGTGATCCACACTCAGGACGTTTTATGATCCACAGAAGAGAAAGATGCCAAAACCAGCAGCCAGAAGGTCCCGTTATTTCAGAAAGCTTTGCTGTGGAAACTGCTAATAAAAGAGCAGCCTGATGAAAGTAAATTAGGAGCATGGCTGAGTTGATTATAAATAATAAAGAAAATATGATTACCACTGCGCGTGAAGAACCTTTATAAGGGAGAGGGATTTGCTGGAGGGGCCCATGAATAAAAGTGAAAAAGGAAATGGCATGGCAATGGAAATATAAGGGGAATGGCAGGAACAAAAACAGTGACATGGAGCAGCGACCATGGCAGCAAACAGGAGCATCTTCAGCTTTCATGGCTGTTCTGTGACATCTGGCTGTAAACCTGCAGCAGGATTGGTGGAGTGAGCACTCAATGCTTCACCCTGAGTCAAAGTAACTGACCTTGCTTGGCAGACTCAGAGATCTTCTCAAACTTGTGGCAGCAGAGCTGCTGGTTGGTCTCTGCCTGCAACACGTCTCTGTTTTTAGCCCGAGCTTTGTCCAGAGCTTTATTAGCGTTCTCATAGTCCACCAGCGCCCGGCTCCTCCGGTACAGAAGGTCCTGTCCAAAGCAGCAGATCAAATCATTATTAGAACTGAATGCCAGGACGACTGCTGCCTATCTGTGAGGAGGCGTTCAGACCTTAGCAGCCTGTGACTCTCTCAGGTAATATTTCAGCAGGTCGGCCAGCTTCAGGTCTTCATCCGCCGCCACTCGAGCTTCAATTTTCTTCAGGAAAAAAAAAAACAATAGAGAATCTATCATTTCTTCAGGATTTGAGCAAAAGCTCCAGTTCAGGCGGCTCCTTTGACAGGTTCTGGTTCAGGAAAGTTATTGGAATAATATGATTTACATTTCAAATGAGAAAGAAAACGTTTTTTTTTGGCAGGAGATCATTAAAATAATGCAAAATCTATTTTAGACAGATATTCATTTTGTGTTTTTGTCATATTTTGGTGTTTTACCATCAGAAAATGTATCCTCTAATGCCAAGTTATTTCAGATACTAGGTGCAGCTTCTAGAAAAGCTGTAACAAGGAAGTGGCTAAAACTAGAAAGACAGTGGATGACTGGTTTGACATTATATATGATATCTTTAAGATGGAAAGAATTACTTTTGTTTTGAGACTAAGAAGGGATCTCAGAAAAGAATGAAAAGTATCTGATCCATCTATGAAAAGATGGATCAGATTTATTATAGGGACGCTGGCTCCCTCCTGGCCCCCATGGTACATTTGGTCTAGAACCGCAACTGATCATCAGTAAATTATTTACTTATTTTTCCCATTGTATAACAGAAGTGCACCCCGGCATTTTTGGTTTTAGCCAAAGGAGCAATGTTCGTAATCTTTGTATGTTAACTTCTTAACTTCTTGGAGGAACCAATCATCCCTATCTGTATATCCTGTTGAATTGTGGATGTCTAGCTAGACAACAGATAGCTGGAGATAACAGGTGTTTTGTCTAACAGTGAAAATAATAAAAATAGAATTGAAAAAAAGGAAAATAACATGTTTATTATCTTATTTCAGGTAGATAAGATTAATTATCTTAAGAGCAGCAATCCTCATTTCATTAGCAGATCTTCTCTAATGAAGGGAAAACACTTTATTTTAAGAAACTTCTACTGTTTCTAGATCAGTTTTAATTCATCCCTATAAGCTTCTGCCTACAGGCAGCTGTCAGGGTCTCTCACACCTCATGAAGAAGCAAAAATAGGAAACAAAACCCTAAATTGGATGAATTCATTTGTTGGAGCTTGTCTGTTCACAACTGCACAGAAATACTTGATCTTGTGAGTTGGTGAACCAAAGAGGTACCAGACATTGTCTCATGACCCGAGACGTGGCAGCAGTTTGGTCCAGCAGTGACGATTTAATACCTTTAAGCACATGAAGATCCCTCTTTATCATCATCTGTTTCAGTTCATGTCTGCAGTGGATCTTTAGACCCCAGGCTTGCTGATTGGTGAACAATTAGTGTCAGGACCTCAACGTTACACAAGCAGTGTATCAGAACACAGAGCGTAAAGGTGCGCATAGCTCCAAACAGCTGGCAGCGCTCGCTGAGATCCTTCAGTTTCAGTCACTGATGCAAATAAAGATTTTCTCACATTTTATACTAAGAGCAAAGTTAAGAAAACCGCTAATTGTTTTATTTAAATTAGCGACCCGATGGAGGTCAATTATTTTAGCCATACAGCAGGGCTGTCTACATTATCAATACTCAGTACAGGTAGACTAAAAATATTAGTCTACCTGTACTTGTTTGTTTGCATGTTTTGGCTAATATTAATTTTTGATTTCTGCAGCATATTAAGAAAATAAAACCTCATATCCATTTGCATACTTATCTAAGCGGTGTCTGTGATTCTGTTGACAGAGCATGTTCCATGTTAGGATGCTAACTGCTCCTCTGCACGTGGACCGGAGCGCGGTGAAGCGTCTGCTCTACTGCGGCCTAAAGGGGCTCATGTTAGCTTCTGAATTTCTATTAAGCAGAAATTAAAGCGTCCTGCTGGAAAACGTCCTGTTTAAACAGTTTTTAGTCCATCCAGAGTGTTTTCACAGCTGTAATTGGGCTTAGAACGAAAGGACACACTTACTCTGGTTTTCTCAAACAGCTCAGATACCTTCAGGAAAAACCTTAAAGGGACAGAAAAAAAACAGAGGTCAGGATGTTTGTACCTCTCCAGCTAATTCAGGATGTCACTTTCCCTCCAGCTGCACCCATTTCTCTTTAATCACAGTTATTTCATTACAACAGCTGAAGTTTAAGGAGCCTTAGAATGAAGCTTTGTGTCCACATCAAGCCACAGGATGGAGAAAAACGAAGCAGGTTTAAGTTTAAAGGAAAAGTCCGCTCATATTCAGAATTCCAACTTCTGAAAGTACTTTAAATATTAAATTATTTCATACAGTTCAATAAATAAATGTTTTTAAATCAGAATAATTTTCATTTGAATGTGCTTTACTGGAGGCATCCATGTTTGTCAAAGAACACTACTGCCACCTACCGGTTTGTGACGTCACGGTGCGGTATCGGCTGTTGATCAAGTCCCAGTGCTGTATCTGGTGTTTGTCACAACGCGCTATTATCCAAGTCATCTTGAAAACATTCTTCTTCCAAATGTTGGCTACATATTACGTGTTTTTTTTCTGGCCAGAAGTTCAATGGTAAATCCTCCCTCTTCCAGTTGGCAATCCAACGACGAACCCGCTTCACTTTTCTACATTTTTACCCGATGTATTCCAGCATCCAACTGCCATGCACGTGGGCATTGTCACTATAGCTCTGGTGAATTTCAAAGGTGAAGTCCTCTGGAAATCTTCAATAATTGTTGTTGATTGCAGATGTGTCTAGTAGTTCCCATTGATTATGCTTGTAAAGCGGGGAGAATGGCGCTAGGCTTACCGCACCGTGACGTCACTGCTGGAAGATGGCAGGAGGGAGGGGTTGTTATATTTCGGGCAAAAATGGCCGCTCCTAGACTCAGTGATCAGAACGAAAATAATTACTGATTAACGCTAAATTCATAAAGTCAGCGCGAACATATTAGTTTTAGGTATAAATAATGATCCATTGATTATTCCTTGCTGACCGGACTTCTCCTTTAACAGATGAAGGACATTCATATTTAGAGACAGTAAAAAGTAGGTCAAATTTATTTCTAGTTTCCTGGATTATCCAAGCTAGAGTAAAAGCCTAGAGAGATGAAGTGAACGGTTTTATGAAGCGATTGTCTCCGTACTTGCAGAGGTCCGTGGAGTCTTGTGTTCCTAACGTGTACAGAGACGAGGCGATCCTGTTCATGTCATCAGCAGCATCTAAACAGACAGAAACAGCAATCAGACGGCATCTACAGCCAACATGCTCCTTTTTTCCGGAAGTAAACATGGATGGTAGTGCCGGCGCGCATCTAGCGATCCTTTCCAACCATAAAAACTCAATCTTTTCAAGATGGTTAAACATAAATACTGCTCTCCGCATCGTCATCTGCCAGGGTTGTTTTTCTTGCCGCTTCTGCGTCGGATGAATCCGACCTGGCCGTTCAGACACAGGTCGCATTTGAAAAGATCAGATTCGTATCGGATTCAGGACCACATAGCCAAGTGGCCTGGGTCGCATTGGAAAAAAATCAGATCTGTGTTGTTCAAACAGCCATGAAAAGATCAGATCCAGGTCGCATATGGGCAAAAATTGGATTTGGGTCACTTCAGGCTGCAGTGTGAACGTAGCCTTTGACATCAGCCTTACTTTTATGTGTGCGGATCATTCGGTCACATTTGGCTGAGGCGTCTTTCACTCTGTTGTGATATTCTAATAGAAACGTCTTTTCATGCTCGAAGAAATCATCCACGTCCTGAAAGACAAACGACATTGAGCTTCGATAAAAGCACTGACAGCAGACCGTAAAAGGCAGCCTGGGCACAGGAGCTCCAACCCTTACCTTGACCCCAGCCACCAGAACGCCATCAGCCGACTTCACCACATTCTTAAAGAAATCCTCCAGTTTCTCCTTCTTGTTCTTCCCTCGTACGCTCAGCTGCCGGTCACAACAGAGCCGTGATCACAAACAGTTCTCCATTAGAGATTGTTAGCCATAATTCAGACGCCAACAAAGGGCTGAGACCAGCTTTAGAGAGAGTAAATCATCCATGGGCTGCCTCTGCTTCACACACACTCACAAGCTCAGATTTTTCAGCCATTGTTTTGGTTTTGTTTTAATGAAAGCCAAGCATTTTATTCCAGTTTAATATTCAGCGATTAGATGAGATCGTTTTAATCTAGACTAAAACATGTTAGTCAGACAATCCAAAAAAGCTTAAACAATCCACTGGACTTTGTTTCCAAGTTCGAAGATGTCTCTCTTCCCATCCAGGAAGCTTTTTCAATTCAAAATGTCAGAAATAGCGTTGAGTTCCAGGTTTTATACAGTAGCCCAACAAAGCCTCGTTTTTGCAAATTGAAACGGACGAACGGGTCCACCCCTTTGACTATGACCTGGATGATTGAGAATCTTTACCAGCAATTTAGAAGACTTTGGTTCAGGAAAATCCCATTAAATATTGGGTGGGATGGATAAGCACAACAGGTTTAACCGCTTGAACCCTACGGACCCGCCGGCGGGTCCAGCTGCTACATGACCTCGTAACTTTACCAAACCCCCAGTATTGATGTAAAAAACATATTTGGCACAGTTTGGTGACATTTATGGATAAATGTGCCAAAATGGCCTCTCCGCCTAAGAAATTTCTCACTAATACCATTCTAAAATAAATATGATTCATCTGATTGAGTCCACATTTTGTATATTTTTACACAACATTTAGATTTAAAAGTCTGTACTACTTTTTTGTGCTATACATAATATTTTGGTAGTGTTTTGCAATGTTTATTTCAAAGAAAATTTTGGCGAGGTTCAAAAAATGCAAAATATTTTGTATTTTGTCCCTAATATTTCAGGCAGGGTCAAAGCTACAATGGTGCTGACACCAGAAAACCATTCTATGACATCTTACCTTTACAGACGTACCAAAAGTTTCTTCTTAAATCTAATAGCTTGGAGGCTATAAGTTATTTACTTTTGTGTGTTTTTGTCAGGCAGAAACTTATTTATACCCCCTTAGGGTGTAAGAGGTTAAACCCATGAAAACTTTTTCATTAAGCTGCTGATCTTTAGAGACGCTCTGATAAATTAGCTGCTTGGTGAAATCAGTTTTTTTCAGTCCATTGTTGCAGGACTTCAATATAAACCTTGAATGAAAAAGCAGTTTAATGGAGAAATTGTAAAAAACACCAAATTTTCCTAGAAAAGCCCCAAAACACGATGAGATATGTATTAAATTTAAATATATATAGTACCATAATTGCATCATTTATGCCGACCTGGATGAATATCTGCTCAAACATGCACAAATGAGCTGATGATACGGCTCTGGTAGACACTGCTGCTAGCTGCAAACAACCTTTGCTCGTGTTACCGCCACCTACAGGGTTGGAGGGTAAAATGTATTTTCTTAGTTCTTAGTTCTGTTAAATGTAATGTAATGTAATGCGACTAACACCGAGAGACACTCCTCTTCAGTGTGGATGTTTTAATTATGGTAAAACTTTTTGCCGGGTCAGCAAGGTTTTCAAAAATCGAGGTTTACTGGTTCCTAGAGCTTCTAATGGCTCTTTAAATCAGTGCTGTGTTTTATCAGACCAGCATACCTATAGCCAACATGCATGTGCAAGATTTGCGTTTATCCCTTTAGTTTTGTACGAAAAATAGACTTTAAACTACCTCAAGACTGACTACCGCATGACTAAAAGGATACACACCTGTTGAGGTAGTTTAAAGTTTATTTTTCATACAAAACTAAAGGAATAACCGCATATTGACTTTGGGTATGCTGGTCTGACCGGGTCAACATGTTTCAAAATCACATTTCAAGCTTTCCATCAGCATCAGTTACACTGAACTGGGACTGAGGAAAAAGCTACAGGAGGTTTAGGGTTCAAGCCTCCTTATTGTCACGGTCCTCCGAGGAGCCAATCCAGGTAGACTGGCTCCTCGGAGGACGCAGTCCCTGAAACCAAACACAGCATCGTGTCAGAGTTTGAATCCCTGTAGTTCTGACCGATGGCTGGTGGGGAGAACAGACCTCTTCATTAACAGCAGCAGTGATTAACTTCCCAAACTGCGCTCAACACTCACATCCTGGTTGTACTCCAAGAAGACGTGGAAATTCAGGTCCTTCCTTAGGATGGGATGAGCTGCGACGCGGCAGAGGAAGACCTCATGCATGGCGACGGTCTTCTTGAAGATGGCCAGGTACTCTCTGAATGAAAACACAGCTGTCAGTAGCGCCCCGTCCTCCAGACCAGTGGTTCCCAACCTTTTTTTTTCTTTTCCATTTGGGCATTTTGTCTGACCATTAGACCCTCTCAGTCAAAACTATTGATGACTGCCCAAAAGTGGAACGTACAATAACTAATTATAAACTAAAAAGTATCCTATTTAATCTTTTTAACTTGTTTAATTCTTTGACATGTTATTCTTTCCAACATAAATGTTGCCCAAAGGTTAGCAAAAAATCAATAAAAATAAAAGATAAAATCATACTATAAATCTGCCTTTATAAAACCCCAACTCTTCTGAGTAACTCCTGCATAATCTCATTTAAACTTAAGGAATTGGGAACAAAATACTGAACAAAAATCAGTCAGACTGACTTCATTAGTTTTACTTTTTCATCAATCATGACACCTGAGCTGCATTGATGAGCTTAGATGTGGAAAACAGGCTGCGCTCTACATCCAGTCTGTTCCTCTGCTTGGTTTGGATGCAAAGCTGAAGGATAACTCAAACATATAAGAATAACTTACTTTTTGGTTGACAAAAGCTTGTTTTATTTTTTAGTTTGGTCCTCACTAGGGGTCCAAGTATTAGTAGTCCGAGGGAATCACTGGCCCAACCCACGTCCGTCCTGCTACTTACGCCTCCAGCTCCTGCTTCATCTTGGTAAACTCCTCCTTCGTCATGGACCCTTCTCCTTCGCCCAGTTTCTGCAGCTTCTCTCTGGACGCGTCAAAGTCAGGTCTGGGGGGGGCTGGAGGGATCTAAAACCAGAAACTGAGACTGAGAACTTGCTTTGCTTCATTACACCCAGTTAAAGTTTCCTCTGCTGGATCAAGATCACTGCACATCTACAGTGAGGAAAATAAGTCTTTAAACACTCGCTATTTTGCAAGTTCTCCCACATGGAGGGTCTGTATTTGTCATCGTAGGTGCATGTCCACTGTGAGAGACATAATCTAAAAAAAAAAAATCTATAAATCACAATGTATGATTTTTATCTATGGTATTTATTTGTATGATTCAGCAGCAAATATGTATTTGAATGTCTCTCTATCAGCTAATTCTGACCCTCAAAGTCCTGTTAGTCTGCCTTCAAAATGTCCACCTCCATTTATTATCCTAAATTAGTTGCACCTGTTTAACCCTATAATGCCAAATGTTTCATATTTGATACATACGGTTTCTGAAATGTTTTGCATCTGACACCTTTTGCATAATTTAATGGTAAAAGCTTTGCTCAAAATCCTATTGTACACAATCAGATATACCTGATAACAGAGGGCGGAAGACTGCACAAAAAATAATCTTGACTTATCGCATAGTAATAAATTATTAATATCAAAAATGTATTTCTGTTTTTTCTTTTTACATATTTTGTTAAAAGGGCAAATAAGGAATTCAAACAAAAAAAAAAGGAAATTTCTGTTTTGTTTTATTCTTGGATCGGGCTTTAAAGGGTTAAGGTGGTTAGCTGCATAAAGACACATGTCCCCCCCAGACAATCAGGAAGAATCCAACTACTACTACTAACATGACCCAGACCAAAGAGCTGCCCAAAGAAACCAGAGACTAAACTGTCCGCCTCCACAAGGCTGGAAAGTGCTACAGAGAAATAACCGAGCAGCTTGGTGGAAAAAGCTGCACTGTTGCAGCAAACATTAGAAAATGGAAGAAGCTAAACATGGCTGTCAATCTCCCTCAGACTGGGGCTCCATGCAAGGTCTCACCTGGTGGGGTCTCAATGATCCTAAGAAAGGTGAGAAATCAGCCCAGAACTACACTGGAGGAGCTGGGACCACCGTTTCCAAACTCTTAGTGTTTCTTAGCAACAGCCCAGAAACCTGATTGATCTAGAGAAGATCTGTGTGGGGGAGTGGGCCAAAATCCCACTTATTTGTAGCTGAATCATACAAATAAATTGCAATTTCCGGATTTCTTCGGAGAACTCAGTGATGATGACGAAAATTGAAGCTAAATCCCTTAAATCACTGCAAATGTATTACTTTTGGGTATAAATAATAATCCATTGATTATTCTTTGCAGAACGGACTTTAATTTTAAAATTCTGTTTGCAGCATTAAAAAAAAGGCCGTAAGACCTTAAAGGTCCAATTAAAAAACCCTGATGTAGAAGAAGCTCACAGCATGGAAAGACTCACTTTTATAATAAGGCTGCAAAAAGCTAAATATGGAAATATATATATATTCATTGTTATTGACCATCTGTTCTTTGTAAATTGTTCTGTTTCATATGCGTTGCTTTTAAAAATAATAAAATACAAGTGAAAAAGTAAAAAAAATAAAGAACCACCAACCATTTATGTCCTAAAACCAGTCAGCCTAGTACGCCAACCATCTAATGGGATTTTTAATCCTTGGAAAGATCATAGTAATTCAATCAGTACGAGGTATGCTAGACACATCAATCGTGAACAACATGACCTTAAAACAACCCTGCTTTTAGTTTCCTGTTCACATGAAGAAAGAGAAAAGCTGCCTAGAAGCACGTAGAACACAGAAGCAGTGAAACTGGCAGATAATTCGTGGAGGAACTGCCTTGTCATCAGACGGTGGTTTTCCCTCCAACAAATGTTCTCAGTTCCTGACCAAAGTCAGCTGGAAGTGTGTGGGTCTTACGATGTATCCTGCATAGTCTTCGTTTTCCACGAACGAGTCGTGCAGCCAGATGAACTCCTCGTGTTGTCGGACCACAGAGAACTCGTTTTGTTTGAAGGTGGGGAGGTTGCTCTGTGGAAACATGAAGGACGCGACGTCAGCATGCAGACAAAGGAGACGACGAGCGGGCAGAAGAACCTGAACCGGGTCTCACCTTGGTGTGGACGGTAAACTTCACCTTGTCCCTCTCGCTCAGAGCGTCAGAGATGTCCACCTGCAGCGTGGGGTCCATTTCCAGTTCCACATTTACCGCTCGGGTCTAGAAAACAACACAAACGCCAATGTCCTATAATGCAGCAGTGCCAGAGATCAACACAAACCCAGCCGATCCCATCTACACCTGCTGTGGTAGCAGGAAAAGCCGCCTCCCATCTGCTATGGAGGATTTAAAGAGAAAAACTTTAAATGAAGAGGAAAAATCTGTGCAGATATACTAAAAAAAATATTTAGCAAATCGAAAGATTTGTCGATTATTTTTTCAATAAATAATCGGATGGCCAAAATACTCCAGTTAATGATTAACAGATTACTAAATTAGTGGATGATTAATTCAATAATCGATTAATGTGATTAGTAGTCACAGCCCAGCATGCTTCCCCTCATGGTTTCACCTTAAAATATCTTCAGTATAAAGAGTTGGGAATCCAGCCGACCCCAGATGTTTAGGATGATGCCATGGACAGAATTCGATCTTCCTCATCTTGTGCTCACCTTACTTTGATTTGATTTAAATTTGTACATAGGACTAATTTATCTAAAACTAGGCTTTCTCTAATTTAACCGGATGTTCTGGATATATGATATATGCAATCTTGGCCACATGTTCTTTCTTTGTCCCAAATTATATAATTTTTGGTCTAATCATTACTCTACGTCTTCTCTTCTGATAGTAGAGCTGCAACCTTGTCCATTTGTTGCCATATTTAATATCCTCAACCCTACTTTAGTTCTAAGTTCTGTTCAAATGGCGATTGTTGCTTTTTCATCTTTATTGGCTAGACATAATTTACTTTTACACTGGAAGTCTGATAAACGTCCTTCAGTATCCCTCTGGGTTAAAGACATGATGTTTTTTATTAAGCTTGAGAAAATCAAATACATCCTTTGAGGGTCTACGCAGAACTTCTACCAAAATCGAGATGATTCTTTCCTATTTTTAAAAAGTAGAAGTTTTACCGAACTGAAGGTGCCTGTCGCTGAATCTTGTGTTGGTTATAAGTATGGCTAGTCATATCTGATGAATGATATATTGATTTATTTTCTTTTACATCAGGTTGACTTTGAGATGAGATTGTATGACGGAGTATTAGGGCCAGGCTAGAGATTTTTTTTTCTTTTTTCTATTTCGATAATAAAGTCATAATTACATAAATAAAGTTGAAAAATTAAGAGAATAAAGTCCTAAATTGCGGGAATAAAGTTGTATTTTATGACAACTCTTCCAAGAAGCGCTTTCTTTCCTAAAATGTGGAGCATTATGTGAAGTTATACTTTAGCATCGGTTTAAGGAATAAGGAAATCTTTTAGCAGCAGCATTAAACTGGGCAGGATGTCAAAGTGGACTCAGGTTGCTGATTGGTGGAGCTGGTCGGCCGTCATCTGTGGGCAGAGCTCCAAGCTTTCTTTCTGAAATGGGTTCTTATATGAGGCATTTATTCTAGTAATATAACTTTAATCTCATAATTAAAAAAAAATCTCCAAGCTGGCCGTAATACGTAATAATATGGGGGGTTATTTTTTATACTGTTTAATTGTTCTTCTCTGTTGGGGAAAAAAGGTGGGCTGAAACTGCTGGAATGTAATTTTGGAATTTTTTTTTCTGCGCAACATTTTCTCTGTTTTGTACCGAGTGTATTGATTTGTATATGCTGTAATGAAAAAAAACAAAAATCCTTATCAGTGGACACATGGACCCAGACAGTGAGGATTACCCCCCACAGCGCCATGTTCTGACCTAAAGGTTGGGAGGAAGCTAAGCTCTATTTAAGATGCAGAGTCTTCATAAAGCGACCTGAAGGTTTGGCAGAAGTGGTTGGTAAAGATAATAAAAATGTTTGCATTTAATGACAAACCCAGATGGTGGATCAGCTTCTAGATGGAGGAGAGGCCAACATCTCTGATCCAATGCGTCTGCGTTCAGCACCGTCGCTTATGTGAGGTCTAATATAGTGAGTTAGATCAATTAACGGGTGCAGACGAAACATCTTGGATTATTGTAGCTTCCCACAAAGCTCAGCGAGTGCAAAGAAAAACAGCAGCAGCATCTGTCTGATAGGATGGAAAAGATGTTTACTGCTGTGGGAGTTACCCTTAGCTACAGATGAGCCTGAAACGAATCACATTCTTGGCCGATTTCAATCAATCTGTTAACTTTAACCGTGAAACAGCGTTAAGTAGACATTCCTGACGTTTTGAAATGAAGCAAAACGTCTTCAAACTTGGAAACAAAGTCCAGTGGATTTTTACTTTTTTTGGAATTAATGATGTTACATCATTATTCTCATAATGTTATTACATTATTCTTGTATTTAAAAATAGAAAATCTCTAGCCTGGCCCTATTACTCCGTTGTAATAAACACTTTAACATTAACATATTACATTTTATTATAGTTTTATGTGGAGATTCTTTGGTATTTTTAACATCAACATCACAGGGAAAGCTGATCCCAAGTATATAGATCTGCTTCCTAGATCCGTTCACATACACCGTGGTTCACCAATCTGATTGCCATTTTCTACCTTTTTTTTAAAAACAATAAGAAAGCGCAGAGTGACAATATGTCAGGGTCTCCTTTTAAAGGGGGAGCAGAAACACAGAGGAGAGGTTTGTCCAATCATGTGACGGTCTGACACAAAGAGAAGCTCTAACTAGAAATAAACTAAAGCAGACATGTTTGGCTCTGTTTAGCTGTTAGCAGCTAAAGGCCCAGCTGTCTGCAGAGGGAACCAGTCTGACCACAGCTGACAGACGGTTCAACACTTAGCATGAAGCTAACGTTAGCATGGATGGCTAGCCGGGCTAAAATGCTTTATTTAAAGCACAACGGTTCAGCTGCGGCGAACAGGACCCTCCGTCCCGCTAAGGGACATGAAGGCGTCTCCAGACGGACAGGTGGACCGATTCTCCGGGACAAAGACAGACAGACAGGCAGAAGGAGGGCACTCACTCCCCGGTCCTCCTCGGAGAGGAAGTCGGGTCCGTCGTCCAGCCCTTCCTGCTGCAGAGACACAAACAAACAGTTATTGAAAGCGCGGATGGAGCTGAAATTAATGACAGCGAGTCAATGTGAGGGAGAGGGCCGCCGCCGAGCCGCAGGAGTGGAGCTAAAGCAGGGCAGAGGCAGAGCAGAAGGAGGAACCCACCATCATGGCTGCGAACGGAGGGAGCCAGGAAGTGGACGCAGCTGCCGAGTCACGTGACAGGAAAACAAATCATGGAAAGCTTTCCTCTAATGTTCTTTACAGTTCTTCACTCTATCAACTGAGCTATTGAAGGTAGATGGAAAGCTTTGAAAACTTAGGAGACGTTTAACAGTAGATAAGAGTTATCCGCTCATTTATTAAAGCTGGACATTATTGAAGGACTGAGAGGATCTATGATTTAATAACAAAAGAAAAACGACTGCTGTGGAGCATTAGATGTTTTAATATTGATTAGTTTTACCTGACAACAAATTTTCTATATTCATCTTACTTCGACATACAGAGCACCAGAAACCACAAAATACTAATTTGTTCCCCACAAAATTTATTTTGTTTCTAATAAAAACTAATGTGTTCCCACAAAATACTAGTTGTTCCCAAGAAATACTACTGTTTTTTTCCCCAAAATACTAATTTGTTCCCACAAAATACTAATTTGTTCCCACAAAATTCTAATTTCTTTAAAAGAAATACTAATTTATTCCTACAAAATACTAGTTGTTCCTAATAAATACTAATTAATCCCCCCAAAATACTAATTTCTTCCCCACAAAATCTATTGTTCCCCATAAAAACTAATGTGTTCCCACAAAATACTAGTTGTTCCCAAGAAATACTACTGTTTGTTTCCCCAAAATACTAATTTGTTCCCACAAAATACTAATTTCTTTCAAAGAAATACTAATTTATTCCCACAAAATACTAATTTGTTCCCAAGAAATACTACTGTTTGTTTCCCCAAAATACTAATTTGTTCCCACAAAATACTAATTTCTTTCAAAGAAATACAAATTTATTCCCCCAAAATACTAATTTGTTCCCAAAACATACTTTGTTTCCCCAAAATACTAATTTGTTCCCACAAAATACTAATTTCTTCCAAAGAAAAATAATTTTGTTCCCAATAAAAACAAATGTGTTCCCACAAAATACTAGTTGTTCCCAAGAAATACAAATGTATTCTCCCAAAATACTAATTTGTTCCCAAGAAATACTATTGTTTGTTTCCCCAAAATACTAATTTATTCCCCCAAAATACTAATTTGTTCCCACAAAATACTAATTTCTTCCAAAGAAAAACTATTTTGTTACCAATAAAAACTAATGTGTTCCCACAAAATAGTTGTTCCCAAGAAATACTAATTAATTTCCCCAAAATACTAATTTGTTCCCAAGAAATACTGTTTGTTTCCCCAAAATACTATTTTCTTCCCAAGAAAAACTATTTTGTTACCAAGAAATACTATTTGTTCCCGAGAAATATTAATTTATTCCCCCAAAATACTAATTTGTTCCCAGAAAATACTAATTTCTTCCCAAGACTTACTAATGTTTGACCCCAAAATATATATAAGTAGTGCATGAATTATTAAAACATAATCTTCCTACACACAGCAAACCAACAAGGGAACAAAACGTGATGGACAGACTCTGATGGAGATTTATTTTAGGCTGGAGATGAGCTACAAACATATTCTGAGAAGTTTGATATTTCTGGAATTCTTATTAGTGAGAAGCAGTTATATAGAATTTTAAGAGTATTTTAATAGAACTTGAGAACTGTTAGGGTCCAGCAGAGAGGAGACATCCTGACTTCCTCTTTTCTGAGGAATACCATGCTGTACACACTTCTCCACCGATAACCGTGGTCCTTTCCAGACCCTTGCAGTTGGTCAACAATAAACAGCCATCTGTGAAGTGACCTGGCTCTAAAAAAAATTATATCATGTTATAACACAGGTCTGCTGTGTGTAGGAAGATAATTTTTTAATATTTTGTGCACTTCTTGGTAGCAAATCATTTTGTGGGAACAACTTATTTCATGCGCACATTGCATCTCTTTTTTTCTCCCATGTCAGTTCTGGGGCTTTGTACAAGGGAAGTAAACACACTCCTGTGTCAGTATTCAATTCAAAAATATTTATTTTTCAAAAACCTCTTACACCCTAAGGGGGTATAAATAAATTTCTGCCTGACAAAAACACACAAAAGTAAATCACTTACCGCCTCACAGCTATTAGATTTAAGAAGAAACTTTTGGTACGTCTGTAAAGGTAAGATGTCATAGAATGGTTTTCTGGTGTCAGCACCATTGTAGCTTTGACCCTGCCTGAAATATTAGGGACAAAATACTAAATATTTAGCATTTTTTGAATCTCGCCAAAATTTTCTTTGAAATAAACATTGCAAAACACTACCCAAATATTATTTATAGCACAAAAAGTAGTACAGACTTTTAAATCTAAATGTTGTGTAAAAATATATCAAATTTGGACTCAATCAGATGAATCATATTTATTTTAGAATGGTATTAGTGAGAAATTTCTTAGGTGGAGGGGCCATTTTGGCACATTTATCCAAAAATGTCACCAAACTGTGCCAAATGTGTTTTTTACATCAATACTGGGGGTTTGTTAAAATTACGAGGTCACGTAGCAGCTGGACCCACCGGTGGGTCCGTAGGGTTCTAGGGGTTAATAAACATTGATAGCTGTAGGCAGGAAGGATCTGCTGTAGCCGTCTGTCCTACAGTGGCTCTGAATCAGCCTCTGACCGAAGACACTCTGTTAGTCCTTAACACTCTGATGAAGAGGATGCTCACTCCATCATCTTCTTCACCTTATGAAGAGTCCATCTCTGTGAAATCATTTCCAGATGTTCTAGACGAGTTCCTAGAAAAGTCTACCTTCTTTATCCATCCATCCAATTCAAGGGCGTAGGTTTGATTTGAACTTTGGTGGGGACACTATTGGTCTGGTGTCATTGGTGCTGCAATATGCGTGCCCTTTTTTATGCTCGATGTGAGCATCCGTACTGATAAGACGAATTCATTGTTAAAAGAGAAAAGCATAATTTTGCTACATTAATAAAAAATTGTATAATCACTACACTCATTAGATGCTGTTTATCAATGTTTGAAGTATCACTGGCTCTGATGAATGTGGAATTAGGACTGTTTTCCACTTTGTAAATGGTTTCATTTGCATGACTAATAGAGAAGGTAAATACAGTATTTTCTTTTGAAGATATACAATTGTGCAGAGTTAAACCCCACTCTTATATTTTACCTACTATGCTCTCTCTGTATCAAGCAAAATAATACATTCATTAAAATATTAACTTCACTATAAAAGTTGAACATCTGGGCTCTAGTTACTCTGTATAGCCCATTTCATGTATTTTATCTAGGGCTGAAAAAATTTATCGTATTAATTTATTATTTCAATAATCGTCAACTAATTTAGTATGTGATTAATCATTAACTGGAGAATGGAGACTATAAAACATAATATAAATGTAAAATAAATGTCCCTTTCCCCTATAGAGCAATCAACTTAGATCAGTAATTATACCAAAATTGTAAAAATACAATATATATATATAAGATTAAAAAAAATTTTTTGTCTGTCAATATTCTCCATCCAGAACTCCTCATGTGGAAATATTTTAGTTTCACCTGGTTTATTTAGACATCACCTGAAGCACTGAAGGGCAGCTGCTTCACCTACAAGCTGCCCTGCATCATTATTACTGGATATCTGTGTTTCCTATAATCATATAATGTATAAGTGCAATTTTAATAGTAAAGGATTAAATGTTACACAACCTTTTATCATTGTCCTATATTGCTTACTGTCTGACTGTTTAAATAGCTCCTTACTGTATGTCTATTTTCTTTTTTAGTGGAATCATTTACAAACACAACACTAAGAGTGAGCCTAAGTGTATTCAAATATAAAATAATTTTTAACAATTATAAAAGACAATATAACACTATCTTATCTGTAATTTAACATTATCCAAAATAAACACCCAGATTCAAGCATTTTTACCAGACATTAATGTTTGTACTAATTTACTTAGACTGTGTGGAAATCTATGTAAGATAAAATCAATGTTTATATTCTTCCTTTGTTTGTTATTGTCTTTATCCTATTTCTAGAAGTATAAATAGTCAATAAAATAGAACTATTATTATGTGGAACCCCTAATTATGCTTTTTAAATGAAAAACAGCAGATGATTAGCCACCATTTCTTGTTGTTGTACTCTATAAGAGAAATAACGCCTGCTAATAATTATACCTGAACTTTCTCAAAGAGTCATAAAAAATGAAAACAGTAATAGCAACTAAATATTGGGAAAAAGGAAACCCTCACATTTTCTTTTTTAGTTGGCTGTGGATAAGAATCGAACAGCCTTTATTTGCCCATTTTGTGTCTTCAGAAATCCTGGCTGACTCAGAATATTTCGCTTTATAAAAGAAAAAAAAAGGTTTTTGTTTTTTAGTGTACATGATATTCATTTTTTTTAATTGGGACTTGTTTTGTAGCCTAATATTTATTGTAGTAACCGCTGCATTCTAGTGTGAATACATTTTAAATTTTGTGCTCCAAGCACGCCAGGACTAGAAAACAGCCAATCAGAGAGAGAGAAGGCGGAACCTAAGGCAGTACAACCAATGAGAGTGGAGTTAAACAGTGCAGCACAGCGCTGCGCTGCTACGTGAAAGGGACAGGATAGAGCAGGCAGAGGAGCTGCGAGAGGAAAAGAAGCCACTGCTGCAACAACTACTGCTGTAAATTATAAACATGTTGCTCACATCCAATTATTGGTAGGGACAATTAGGTCGGTTCAAAACTTTGGTAGGGACATGTCCCTATGGTCCCTATGCAAACCTACGCCCATGATCCAATTTATGTCACCTTTATCCCCACTGGGGTGGTGAGGGGTGCTGGTGTCCATCTCCAGCTGTCTATGGGGGAGAGGCGGGGTCCACCCTGGACAGGTCTCCAGTCCATCGCAGGGCATTTGAGACACACCTTTGTTTCTAGATGTTGGAGCTTGGCCTGTTTTCCAGTGTAGTCCTGTTTCTCTGACTGTGACTAACTGGATGTGCTCTCTTCATCCCGACATGGGAGCTGGCTCGGAGCTCGTCTACCTGGCTGTGCGTTTCCTGGATGGGGCCGCCTGTGGAGCTGGTTGACAGTTGCCTTTTGTATCTATGCTTCTTTTTC